AGGCTACTCTTATGCGCTTCTTCACTGGTTGGGGAAAGCGATGGGACATGCTGATTAAGGGAATGAGTCCTCATAGCGCTACACGACACACATCCGAGGGTAGTCTGGATGAAATCCCTGGCCAGAAGTTATGTCTGGTGGCCAGGACTGGACCGGGACATTGAGGACCGGGTGAAGCTCTGTCAGTCCTGCCAAGTATCCCGACCCGAGCCTACCCGAGCTCCCACCAGGGCCTGGGAATTGTCACACAAGCCCTGGTCTCGGCTCCACCTGGACTTTGCGGGGCCATTCCAGGGTCAACTCTTTTTTATACTCGTGGATGCATACATCAAATGGCTCAAGGTCATCCCGGTGCCGTCCACGTCATCATGAGCAGCTATCCAGGCCATGTGGCACATCTTCAGCGCACAGGGAATTCCGGACACCCTGGTCACTGACAATGGGACGGCATTCACCTCTAGCAAATTCCAGGACTTTACCTGCTATTATGGAATTCGCCACGTCAGGTCAGCCCCATTCCACCCTGTGACCAATGGCCAAGCCGAGCGCATGGTGCGCACGACTAAGGAGGCGCTCCACCACTTGGATAGTAAGGACTGGGACTACAAGCTGGCAGCTTTCCTCTTTGGCCAAAGAATGACGCCCCACACCACGATGGGACGCAGCCCAGCGGAGCTCCTTTTGGGACGGCGCCTGATGGCCCGTCTGGATCGCCTTCATCCCGATCGAGCACCGGAAGAGGAACCGGCTACAGAGTCACCCGAGGCGGCCAGAGGGTTTTTCCCCAAGGATCCGGTCCACACCTGGAACTATGCGCAAGGTCCGCCATGGATTCCGGCCCGGGTGGTGAGAGTCTGGGGACCCAGGTCATACGAGGTCTCCAGCGAGGATGGCCAGATACTGCACCACCACATCGATCAGCTGCGGCGGCGGGTACTGTCACACTACTCAGAGGACTTCGAGGACCCAGACAGCCCAGAAACTCCCACTCCACCTCAGCTACTGGACGACCTGGCACAGCACAATGAGGTTCCTGTTGATGCTCCAACAGACAGCACGACCGGGGCCCGAGAAGCAGCACTGCCAGCACCACAGTCGCCAACTCTGCCCATCTCCCAGCTGAGTGCTACAGTGTCAACGAGGACCTGTAAAGCACCCTCCTATTTGCAGGACTTCGTGTGTGGGTGACTTTTGGACCAAGGGGGGAGGGGTGTAATGTATCCATCCCAGACCACATGCGTGGCCATTTCACCACACGGTCATGCAAAGCGGCTGAGCTTCGCTCTCAGTAACAATGGGACAAGCGGATCCTAGCCAGCACCTATCGGGAGGCTAGGCTCCCGGCCGAGAGCCTATGGAACTCTCAGCCACTGTAAATAGCCAATCACTTGTGTGTGGGTGCGTTTTGGGTGCGGGGTTGTTGCACATATAAACCAGCCTGCGAGCTGGTTAGTTTGTCTTGTTCTTGATCTAATAAAGTACGCTAAGCTGAAATCACTTGTCCGTCTGCGTACTTTTCAATGAGGAATGCAGAGGGCACAGCCTTCCTCCTCTTCACTGCCTCTCTAAGGTGCCACAGTTGAATTGATGCTTGCCACAATACATGTGAGTAGGCATACATAAGGAGCAGTGACTCCCACACTACCCCATGGCTCCAAGCCCCACCAGGAGGGATCTGTGCAGCAGCAACACGGGTGGTTCAAAGTGCAGCCTAGGTTAGGCGGTGGCAGAAGCTCAAGAGAGAGCAGCCCACAGAACCTGTCCTCTACCCCGGGCCTGGCCACAATGAGGGCTGCCGGGAGGGCGGGGGCGGGGCCACCCACTCCTCAGAGCCGACAAAACTAATCTCTGCCTGGTGAAAAAAAAAAAGCTGTGCGAGCCGGCTGGGGGTGAGCGGGTGGGGAGAGAAATCAGTACATTAAGGCAGGCTGGGGAGGACTGCAGGTAAAAGTTTGGGTCCCTCCACTTCTCTCCCTCCCTATCTCTGGCACTGGTTGCTGGGGGAGGCTGTTCCCCCTGGAAAAATTACACCTATGCTCAGCAGGATATAATGACAAGACTCCACCCTTCAAAGAAGCCATTTTCTCCAGGGGAACTGATGTCTGACCTCTATACTCTGGAGATCAGCTGAAATTCTGGAGGTTGACAGCCCTACATTTAGAATATCAGCAAGGGGGAAATCAACAGGATACCCATTGGATGTAAATCCTCACTGCATTCTGATGTTGTTTGACTGATCTCTTTCCACCACCTTATCCCTCACTCTCCCCTCCTTGTGTGCCTTGCCTTTTTAGCTCAGTTGCAAGCCTCAAGGCAGAGGCCTGTGTCTCTCGATTGATGTGAGGTATTTTGAGAAATGACAGTTGTTTGAAAAATTGGCCATAAACTTAAGAAATAAATCAGTATTGCACAGATTCAGTTTTCTCTTCATTTCTCCCCTCCCCCCAGGAGCTTCATGGCTCACATCCGGCTATTCCAATGTCAGAACCGGACAGCCAAAGCACTAAAATATAGCTGAATTCTAAAGTTGAAGAGCATCTGGACCACATAAGTGTTGCAGTGAGAGGTTGCGACTGGGCTCAAAGTATAAAGAGAAAGTAAAGAAATGTACAGGTAGGTATCCAAAAATCTAGCTCAATTGTCTTGCACATTTTGGATTTCTTTACAGCATGGGATAAAGGACTGAAATAACTGTGCATACGCAGACAACTTGGCAGCTATATAAAATTGATTCCTGACAAGCCTAATAGAAAATGCTTGTTCTCTGTAAGTGGAGAAGTAATTCTAAATTAAATCCTAAATAGGAAGCTTAAACCCTAGAGTTCTCTTCAAATATTGTATGCTGTGTGGTATATTAGACATTATGACAAATCCTTTCTTAGGCTGATATAATACTCAGAAGCACCACTCTGTGGTATCAGTGTTTATTAGACTGGGCAATGACAAGAGCCAACAAAGCAAAATCCCTTGAGAGCATCATGTAGAGAATAAGCCAAGATTCCTGCAAAAAAGAAAACAAGGCAAGCAGAGAATTAGGCAGTGAAAAAAAACCTTTATCATTTTGGTTAATGCAGTGCCTGTTTGTCATCACCACAAGGACTAAGGTATTTGAGCACTCCCTGAAAGCAGACCTATCCACACGCCCAGTCATAGCTCCACTACCTTCTTAGCCTGCTTGGCATAGATTATAATGTGGCTTTATGGGATAATCTATAAGGGATGTCTGTTAGGAAATAAACACTATATTTACTGAGGGAAGACATTTTAAATGAACCATGCAAAGAGAAATGCGGACCAGTATATTGCATGACTTAACAGTAAGTCTCACTAAAACTGACACATTCTGATTCACAATACATCTTTTTGAAGACAGAACCATGGAAATTTGGGGAAACTGTTGATTCAACTCAGAATTTTCAGGTCAATTCTACTAATCCACCCCCCAAGCAAATTCCATTGAAATAAAACAGACTTGCTTTTAAATAGGTATTCTTGGGATTCCAATATCCATAGTCCATTATAAGATATTGACTTTTATACATTATTTCTAACTAATTTAAGGGTACATATGAACGGGAATGCATGAAAATATATAAGCAGAGGAACTGCTAGAAACCTTACCCCCTGCCTGGTCCCCCTCCTCTTTACAGCCTATACAGCTTCTCTATTTTCCCTGAGGATAATTTCAGAGGGTAGCTGTGTTGTTCTGCACTAAAACAGCTAGAACTGAGTCCAGTAGCACTTTAGAAACCAACAAGATTTTCAGGGTTATCAGCTTTTGAGAGTCAAATCTCCCTTTGTCAGATATCAAGATTGTTGGTCTCTAAGGCGCTACTGGACTCAATTCTAGCTGTTCTTTCCATACAACTCGCCTCTGAGCAGCCTAATAAACTGCACTTGACTGAGGTTGCCTAGGTGTTCCCAAATGGCTGCCAAGATCTCATGAGGTAATCTCACAAGAACTCAACATTTTAAAACTTCTTTTTAAAACTTCTTTCCTTTTTTTAAAAAAAATAATATTTTGGGGTTTTTTTTACCAGATTTGTAAAAGCATCTCACCCTTCTGTATCTGGCACCACTGTGCTGACTTGGTGCTTTGGGGGGGGGAACAGTGGGAGGGTTTCTAGTGTCCTGGCCCCACTGCTGGACCTCCTGATGCACCTGGTATTTTTGGCCACTGTGTGACAGAGTGTTGGACTAGATGGGCCTTTGGCCTGATCCAACATTGGCGTCTCTTATGTTCTTATATTCTTATCCACACTCTGATACCAAGTTCAGAATTAGATATTTAGATATACTACATATATGTAAGCCCTGAGCTGGATGGCCCATACTAGCCCAATCTTGTCAGATCTCTGAAGTCAAGTAGAGTCAGCCCTGGTTAGTATTTGAAAGAACTCCAGGGTTGCTGTGCAGAGGAAGGCAAGGGCAAGTCACCTCTGAATAACTCTTGCCTTGAAAACCCTGTAACTTGACAGCATTTTATACATGCACACACATATATACATAAATGCATAGGACTGTGTTTATGTGTCTTTGCATGTGTATGTATGAAAGAGAGAAAAACAGTTGCATGAGATTCTATGCTGTTTTGTCCATAGGGACAAGGCAGTACCTGAATTTTAAAAGCATTTTTGTGTGGATGAGCAGGATGGAATCTTGCATTACATGACTACAAGGATATGCTATTTAAACCAAGGGGTTCTTTTTTTTTTTTGCTCAAGTCTGGTCTTTTATTATTGTGTACTAAAGAATTATTTTACATTTCAGGAAAACGTTAATAAAAGACTTCTTGGTATAATATAGAACTCAGCCTATATTTTTGAAAGTATGATCAAAATACAGACATCATATCATGAACAATATGGGCTATCTGAATATTAATTTCAGTGGTCTTATTCTCCTAAATAGTATCCCATATATTTCCCCCCCTGATAAATTGCTTATATTCAGTACATCAAAATTTGGTCTCCTTGGAAAATATACAAAGCTACACTTACTGTAGTTCTGAAAGCCTTGACTTAATGCAGAGAGGTCTGGACGCATCTGTAGCAGGAAATGATACTAACAGAGAGTGAACGGGTACACAAGACTTCTGAGGAAAATGTTAAGAATAACATTGTCAGGTTATGATCAAAGAATTTATGGAAGCCAAAAGAAAGACCAATGGAAAATGACAGAGTTCTTACCTGGTAAGAATCCAAAAGAGTTCTTAAAATGTTTAGATTTCATCCTACTTAGGATTCAGTCATCCCAAGTATCCTAAAGAGAAATAATTTACTCTTGTAGAAACTTCAGCAGTTGGGGGAGGGGGGCGTAGAACTGAAAGGACCAAAAGTGTTAATGCAGTGAAAGCAATGGCAATGCTTCCTGAAACCTACTTAATTGCCCCAACTGACAGCAGCACCTAGACAAATCTGGCCACATCACATCATGACATCATCCCATTTACTGTGCAAGTCCCTGGACTGGCTGGCATCACCAAAGCAATTTTTTGCAGGAAGAACACCACCCTGAAAAAAGGAAACATTCTTACCAGTATGCATTGCCTTGTGGGAACTGAAACAGGCAGTAGCATGGGCATGATTTTTTAAAAGACCTTTCGTTTTGTTATGGCATATATTTGTTGTTTATTTACCTTTCCAGCTTTTAAAAAAATCCTCATTCCAGCATTGTACCGTTCAACCAAGGGATCCTTCCTGCCTTATTTCAGGGAGATACAAGGAAGGGTCCCAGTTTTACAGGAAATAAAAATTCTGTAGGCAGAAGCAGACATTGAGTATCCCAAGAAGGCAAGCAGCATTATAGGTGGACATGGGGAGGCAATGGCACCGCCCCCCAAAAGGCAGGCTGGGTAACACAGAGCCACTATAGCATATTGGCTAAGATAACTGAGCTACAAATAAGAAACTCCCTGGCTCAAACCCAGTTCATCCATAAACCTGCTAGGTGCCTTTACAAAAGCTAGTCAGAATACAGTACTCAAGTCTGCCATATGGGTTTAATAGTGACTTACCTTTTGTGGTGGTTATAAGGCTTGTAACAAGATAATCAATGTGAATTATTTTGAACACTGGAGAGATCACATGAATGCTAAGCACTGTTATTACAGAGGGCACTAAAGCTAGCCAAGGCAGCAGAGCTACAGAAGCAGTAGAGGAAGGCATTTGATATCACAAGAAAAGCAGGCAGCAGGGCAGCATAGGCACAGAGGCTTGCATTTGGCATCATAAGTAAGACAGGCAGCATTACTTGGCGGGCAAAGCCTTGCCTTTGGCACACCAAAGAAAAGCAGGCAGTGTGGCAGAGAGAAACATCAGGAGGTATTTGTCACCCAAGAAAGGCAGTCTACGAGTATTTGATAGAAAAGAATCACTGGAATAAGCGTTGTTGGTGGTAATAATTTTAAATGTTATGCAATGAGCAGTGTTCCCTCTAAGCTGAGTTAGTGTGAGCTAGCTCACAGTTTTTTAGCCTCCAGCTCCCAGATTTTTGTCTTAGCTCAGGAAGGATGGCTCCAGAGCAAACTATTTATGCAGTAGCCAAATCGCTCACTCATTGCCAGTAGCTCACAAAGTAGAATTTTTGCTCATAAGACTCCACAGCTTAGAGGGAGCATTGGCAATGAGGGACATATTCACAGACAGACAAACTTGATGTGTATTTGTAAATCATCTACTAAAATCCAGTCCAAGTCACCTCTTTGCTGAACAGTTCATGTACTGGATTCAATTGCTAAAATAACGGCTAGTGCCTTTTTCAGTCTGCCTTTATAGTTGCACAAGACAAGGGTAGTGGGAGGGGCAGCAAGTGATTCAGCAGGTCACCTAACTGACAAGAGCTTCTTCTACCCAGAAGAGTTAACTAATGTTCCTGCCATAGAGAATCATCCAGTAAGGCTTTGTGTGCAGTGTTTTCATTTTCCCTTAATGACTGCTCTGTCCCAGAAGCTTGGGGTAGCCTTTTAAAATTCTGTATAAGCAGAAGTGGGTCCTGTTTTTTCACTATGACATTCTTTGATCAGGTGGTAGACCTGCCTGTTTTTCTTGTTGTCTTTGAATACAGGCACTGTAGACTGGGGAGGGGGAATTAGAGGTTAAGGTTACATTTCTCCCCATCAGCATAGTAGGCAGCATTCTGGAAAAGGAGAGAATCAAACTGTTCTGCTTGTATCCTCTGGAACCCACGTAGGTAGACTGCTGCAAACTAGAGAGGAGGCAAATGCTTCCTCATGTGTTAAAGGCATTGCTGTAACATACACATGCTGATAACAGGCAAAGCAGTCAAATGTGACAGATCAGTGATGAGGACCCCATTTATGAGATCTCTACATCTTAAATTTGATCTAAACAGGGGTGTCAAACATAAGGCCTGGGGGCCGGAATTGGACCATCTGGGGCTCTTATGTGGCCCACAAGCAACTAGTGCAAGGGAGGAAACAGGAGGCTGCTTGGGGGGAGTTAGTGGAGCCACCCCGATTGTGGCTTCAGAGGAATAACCTCATCTGCAGCAGTCAAGCATCGTGGGAACATCTGCCCAGTGCTGCACTGCTGACTTTCCAGTTCGACTATGTGGGTTTTCCTCTACACCCCCCTCCCAGCCCATGAGGCTTTGCAATGAGGATACACCAACTTGGAGATTACTAACTGCTGTCCTTTATACAGTTTGTATCTCCGGTACCTTGCATTACTTTTTATGGCATACATGGCCTGGCCCGACAAAGTGACATTTATGTCAGATCTGGCCCTTGTAACAAATTAGTTTGACACCTATGATCTAAAAGCAGACATTGACGGAAGGAACCCACTAAGATTAGGGCAGTGACGTTTGGCAGGGGAAGGCAGGCAACCATTTTTAATTCAAGGACAAATGGCACAATCCTAGAATACTTAGGCATGTCCACCTGTCCCCATGTAAGCAAAATGGGAGTGGGTGGGAGGTCTGTTTTGTACAAAAGCTGTGCATAAATGGAGCTGCATCTCATCAGCCCCTCTCGCCTTATGACTCTACTTCTTTTTGTTGAGTGGTTTCAGCATTTTCTTCCCCAGGCCAGATCTTGTACTTGAAGTTCACTAGGGTGTGTAATTTAAAACCACATCAGCATGGCCATACCTAGGTATCCTGGTTGACTGCTACTTTCCTCCCTCCATCTTGGAACTGGGGACCACTCTGCATGTTAGAAAATCATAATTAAAATAATGGCAGAAGGAAACATTTAATCTCTGCTGTAATCTGTTACTGAAGCAACTTCCCATCAGTTCCAGAGAAGACCAACACTGGAAGACTGTCACTCAAGAGTGGTCAGGGGAGAATGGGATGTGTGTTCATCACAAAGAATCCAATTCTATTTCTTTGGTTAAATAGCCAAAAGCACTAGTACTTCAGCCTGATAAAAATAAATGTCTAAAATCCAACAATCTGGAACATCAGGCGTATATGACTATGTCTACAAACTAATAAGACAGAGATGAAAGCTGCCTCTATCTGCAGGCTGTGTCCATATAGTTGAAAAGAAAACCATATTTGTTTTGATCTGTTCAGCATTCTGAGAACACTGAACGATGGGCCATTTGCATGAATAAAGGGAGTTGTGATGCACTTGTGGGGGGGGGGATCAATTTTTTGGTTCGTTCATGCAGAAGAATGCTTCTTATCCCTGGAACTTATCCACTGAGTTGGTCAGAATTGCCTTTTGTTTCAAAATACCACATGCAAGTCAGAAGATGGCAGAACAGGAACTGATAAGGTGAAAAGGTTGAAGTTAAGTGTGAAAGGATGTTTCAACTGCTCATGGCAACTGGCACTCTTGCCACTGAAGTGGAAAAACTTGATACACTCCGGCATTTGGACTGTGCAGTTTCAATCAAATATTCTTTAGCATTCTAGCAAGGTAAACATTTTACTGTGAATGCTACAAATTTCTTAGTGAACTTGTTCAGGAGTCAAACATACCCTGTTTGACACTCACAGTTGAATGATGAGCTAATCAAGGATATGGTCAATTTGAGCAAACCTAGTTCACAGAGTAAAATATGTGGGAAACAAGCTGTGGTCCTCTGTCTCACAATGGAAGGATACATTGGGTCTGTTTTTGATGGATACATTGGGTCTGTTCTTTTCAAGGTGCTTAGGGCACAGGGACTAGGGATGCTACAAATTTCTTAGTGAACGTGTTCAGCAGTCAAACATACGCTGTTTGACACTCACAGTTGAATGATGAGCTGATCAAGGATATGGTCAATTTGTATCGAACAAACCAATCAACTGCTGAACCAGCTGCAGCTGTCTGTTGTGCAGAAGCCAACTTACAGCTGATCAGAGGATCTCTGTATCCTAACCTTCGGTTGGCAGGATCAGAAGCGACGGGGGATCACCTTGGAATGGGCTTCGGATCTACCTCCTTCCAAACTCCTACAGAGTTTCTGATCTTCCTATTATAAAAAGGAGAAACAAACTGTTTCTCTTCTCTGCCCTCTAAACTGGGAGGGGGAATGGAAGTGATGTTCTTCTGCTCTACATTGGGAAAAGGGAGAGGAGAGAGATCGTTTCTCTCTGTTATTCTGCAGCCCAAGCCAACAGCTTGGTTGGTGACAGAACAGATCTCTTCCTTCCCCTAGTCTAGAGTTGCCAGTTCTGCGTTAGGAAATACCTGGAGATCTTGGGGGTGGAGCCTGAGGAGGGTGGGGCTGGGGGAAGGCATGGATCTCAAGAGGGTCCAGTGCTATACAGCCCACCCTACAAAGCAGCTGTTTTCTCTAGAGGAAGTGATCTCTGTAATCTGGAGATCACTTGTAGTACCAGGAGATTTCCTGGCCACATCTGGAGGTTGGCAACCCTACCCTACACCAAACTGACTGCTTCAACTGCAGAGACCAGGAACAATCTCCTGCTTTTCTCTACAGCTCAAGCTGACAGCTTGAGGTGGGGAGAAGAGAAGGGGAATTAGCTGGGGTTCTGATTCTCCCCCCTTAGCTGAATATCAGCAAATCTGGGACATAGCATAGTTTCCAGTATGGGAGATCAAAAGAACCTGACTTCCCCCTCCCCCAAAGAACTTTTCTCGATCCAGACCTAAATTTCCCCAACAAGAGATCAGAAACTGATTCCATGCAAATAGGTATGAATTGGTTGTGACCTTCCCATTGATTAGGCACCTGCCTGAACACCATTGGTGAATATGATGTGAGCCAAATTGGCAGGTGTTCAAGCATCCCTAACATTTAATTTATTTATCTGAAATACTTCATGCCATCATTCTCAAGGATCAGGGTCCCCAAGGTGGTGCAAATAAAAGCCTTAAAAACAATATTTAAAATTATAAAATAATATAATAAAATCACATAAATAACACCAAACCAGGGAGGAGGGTCAGTAATCATTATTGGGGGGTATGCCAAGTGAAACATAGAAGAATTCACCCACCAGTGGAAGAAACCAATAGAAGGAGACAGACAAATCTCCCTGAGGAGGGAGTTCCAAAGTAAGAGGAACACATTACAAGTTACACAGCACAGATCTTGGAGAGAGATCCAGGGAGGCAAACTATGTCATGCACTGCCAGACAAGGAAACACAGATGATGTACCACAAATCAAAGGGGGGGGGAAAGGGGGGGGACTCAACCCAAAATGTAGCTGCGATATAAGAGGGTCAAGCTAACAAATTATATAAAAAATACAAATGTTTATTAGGAAAGAAAAAAGGCCTGATTATTATATATCAAATGTATATAGTAAATATATGTAATAATATTTTTTTTAAAAAAAAATAACAACAAGAAATTTTTACTGGCGTTACCTTATATGCTTTGCATTTGCTACAAGTTTGTATAGTGGGCCATAGATATAGTAGCTGTGCAAATTCTCCAAATTATTCTACATAAAAATAGAAATACAATTAATAAAGTTTATAAGTGGTCTAATTTTAGAGTAATTTTAGCCTAGAAAATATTTAAATTAGCCAACAAACCTGGTAGCGAATATCCCATTCGTCAGGATGTGTGTCACTTCCATCAAAGGTAGGGGGGATGGGCTGCTCCGTTCTTTTATCTAATATCTCCCATAAAACATCCAAGGCCTCATCTTGTGGAATGTTAGTGTACAAAGACACTACATCTAGGGTGGCAAAAATCACCTCTTCTGCCTGCAATTGTAAATTACTGATGTGGTTGAGGAAATCCATGGTATCTCTTAAATATGAGTGCGTGGTTTGAACAAAGGGCTTGAGAAAAAAGTCCAAATATTGGGCCAAAGGTTCCAAAATGGACCCACATCCAGAAACAATTGGGACTGGGAGGGTGCTGAAAAACAGCTGAAATTCTGGATTATAGAAACAATTCAGACTACTAATTCAAACATGCTCAAACTTCTCCCAAAAAGAGAGTTATTTTGGATACATCATCTACAGACATTAACTCCTCAAGGACTGAATGAAGGAGTGGACTTGCTGCCTTTGAAAAAATGTATACCTGTCATTCTGTATTTGTCAGCGCTGACCTTGAGTTCTCTCTCTCTCCTCTTCACCCCCTCCCTCCTTGTAATCCCTTCCTTGGCAATAGCATTGTGCAATGCATGTGGGTGACTGCATCATCCCTGGGTTCAACTATATAATGATGTAATGTTAGCAGTTTGTAACTTGACTACTACCTTTGATGGAAGTGACACACATCCTGACGAATGGGATATTCGCTACCAGGTTTGTTGGCTAATTTAAATATTTTCTAGGCTAAATTTTTCTAAAATTAGACCACTTATAAACTTTATTAATTGTATTTCTATTTTTATGTAGAATAATTTGGAGAATTTGCACAGCTACTATATCTATGGCCCACTATACAAACTTGTAGCAAATGCAAAGCATATAAGGTAACGCCAGTAAAAATTTCTTGTTGTTATTTTTTTTTAAAAAAAATATTATTACATATATTTACTATATACATTTGATTGGATGTATTTCTGGATGTGTGTCAGTGTAAAATAAAGAATATTGACCACTGAAGAAGGCCCGAAGGGGCCGAAACACGTATGGTCCTTAGGTCAAACGTTTTACCCATCAATTGTATATGCATAATAATCAGCTTTGATGATATAAGCTTTAAAAGTCTGATATTTAGACTATTTCTTTTTACCGTATGTATGTTTTAGCTATGTGTACACCCTAATAAACATTTGTATCTTGTATCACAAATCAAGTCAGAATGTGAACCACAGTCACTATACAGTCAGCTGAATGAATCAAAGTAACTCCATATTTTCATAGTGCAGAGCTTCCATTTCATTATTTTGCCTAAAAGACCTCATCTCATTTCACCTTCTCCAGCAGGAATTTTTGCAGGAATATCTACCTCTCCAAGAAGCCAGGTTTTTTGCCTTACCTTTCCCTAAATTTTTGAGCCATAGTCTGAAAGGGGCTGTGTACATCTTGAGTTGCTGACAGATAATGAATGAATTATAAGGCTATTTGTCACACTATTAAAGTTCATGTGCAACCTATTTGTATATTATAAAGTATCAGTGTACTATAAATATGTTTATAAAAACATCTTTGACAAAGGTTTTTCAAGATGTCCGTTTCTGTATTACCAAAAATATTTATTGGAATATCCAGAGTTAATTAGAAGCTGTATTACATATACACAACAAAAATAAACTCCTTCAAAACTGTTTGTGCCAAAAGACACTTTTTAAAAACTTCGATTCTGTTTAGCAGAAGTGTGAAATTGTGCTCTTTTGCAACACACAGCTGCTTCAGCTTTCCATTTTTCAGCATAAAGTTTTGAAGGGCTTGTTTACTTTTTAGTTTTTACTAGCACAGGAGCATGGCTGCTTTATCACAATTTTGTTTTCTTCTGGAGAAAAAGGTTAAATCATTTAAAAATAATTATAAACCTCAAAGGGTTAAACTTACTCTTATCAACAATCTTTTCCTGCCTGGAGACAACTAAGATGGTATTGAAGCAATAACAGAAGTGTGGAGCAATAATGGAGCAAAACAGAGAGATTCTAACAGGGCCATCCGAAGTAGAGTTATACCCTTCATTGAAGTCAATGGGCTCAGAAGGGTATAATGATGGCATTGTACTTTTTCTTATTACTATGGAAAATGTTACCATATACTAAGATGTTAGGAAGTTATTTCTGTGCCAAGGTTCAATCTGAAAGGGGGGGGGGGAACACAGCGAACCAAGAGTTCCATTCAGTTTTGTCCACTTTACGCAAAGGTGAATGGAATTGGGGCATTCACAAATCCTGCAGCACATTCTAGCAGCCTACGGTGCCAGCTAGCAGCAGTCTGGGTGTGTGTGTGAGGTCATGGGGGCACCACTGGCTGATGGCATCACATCACTTCTGGGGAAACCTGGAAGTGACACTAGTCCACTCTTTTTTTACCAAAGAATTTCCAACAATTCCTATTGTGGATTGACATCACTTCTGGGTTTACCCTACAAATTCTTGACCACTGGAGATTTTTACCCCACCCCCTACTGGTCAACAGTGCAGCAGTGAGAAACAGGAGCTGGGGAACCCCCTGCTCCAAGTGGGAACCTGGCAGCCCTATTCTAGCTCTGTACTTGCAGAAGTCAGAAACAATAACAAAAGCCGAATTTTTGGATTAAGCAGTGCAAGTGCAAGTCTTAAAGCTCAGGGTTTGGAATATAAGCCATGCCTTCATTCATGCTGCACACTTTTCCACAGTAGGGGTTGTCCTCTACTGCTAGGGGCTTCCTTTCATGCAACTGAATGAGCCAAAAAGCACCTAATGCTAGAGGAAAGTGCTGCAAAGTCCCTTTGCAATGACTGTGGGGTCTAGGGATGGGCACAAACTGAACCACGAAGCAACATACATCACAAATTTTGTCCTGTTTGTGGTTTGTGGACTGAGGTTCAGGGCAGGTCTACCATCATGAACTTCCACAAACTTTTAAAGCACTTTGTGGACATTCATGACGGTTCATGGATAGAACAGAAAGCAGAGGTTTAAAGGGATTCTGATTCCCTTTGAACCCCTGCATTCTGTTCCCCACAAAAGCTGCAAAAAACAGGCCTGCTCCCCACCACTCAGCTGTTTTTCAAGCTTTCTGCAAACCTCATTTCAATGGACTATGGCCTCTTTCAACAGGGTTTGCAGGGTCATGAATCACAGATTGGTTCAGTTCACAAACAAACCTCCTAGTTTGATTTGGTTTGTTGTTTGGCCATGAACTACATTTTTTCTGGTTCATGCCCATCCCTAGTGGGGTCCCACAGTAAAAAGGTCGAGACACTGCAAGCAAATGTAAAACTGAGTGTAATTATTAGGGCTGCCAACTCTGGGTTGGGAAATTCTTAGAAATTTGGGGGTGGAGCCTGGGAAGAGTGGAGTTGGGGAGGAAGCTCATCAGGCATGTGATACCAAAGAGCCTAGCCCTCAATACTGCCATTTGCACCAGGGGGAACTGATCTCTGTAATCTGGAGATCACTAGACATTCCAGAAGAACTCCACTACCTACCTGAAGCCTGGCAACCCTAGAAGGGACCTCAGCAGGGTCTAATATCATAGAGCAGCTACTTTAAAGCAGCTACTCATTTCTGTGGTCTGGAGATCATCTATAATTGCTGGATATCTGCAGGCCCAACCTGGAAGTTAGCAACCCTATGTACCATCCATAGGTTTATAGCAGTCTTCAAGGGTAGTCAATAGAGTGCATTTTATTAGTCTAATCTTGAGGTGACGGTGGTGTAGATTAGCATGGCCTAGTTGGCTGAGTTCAAATCTAAGTTTTAATGTACTAACCACGCACAAATGAAAACTAAAATTTACTGTGGCAAACAAGGTATGTTCTGGGCCTAAGAAACAGCATCTCAGTGTTATTTGTATTCTTTTTATATCAAATCAGTTGAGTGAAGCGAAGTTCGGGGCAGGTCAAACACACCTATAACTCTATTAACAACGTAACGCAACATGATTTTTTTTGGGGGGGGGAATCTCATGTTTAGTATTGCCTTTTAGGGCAATTAAAATGCTTCCCTTTGCACAGAGCACTGTGCAGTCACAGAAGTAACATTCTCAAGGAAGCTATCCTTTAACAAATACAAGACAACTAGCATAAGCCAGGTAATTATCCTGCACTGTACATCTGTTTCCCAGAGATACAGATTCAAGAAAATTCATTATCTTTCAGATTGAGCTATATTGTGGGGAAAGCCCATTCCTGTGCTTCTTTTTGTTACCAAACCTGTGGTAGTGTGCTGGGAAAAACTGAATGCTGGAATTGTCCGTGTTTAACAGCACAGGGCAGGAGCTTAGCTTTTTATGTTTGAAAGCCTATTAATCTCCAAGCCAATCTAACACTAGTGTTAAACAGTGGCTTTAAAAGTGTGAACTGGCAAGTCCCCACTACAACCCTTGACCACAGACACACTAAGTTTGCAGGCCTAAGGCTGTGATCACACACTAAATAATGCACTTTCAACCCACTGTTAATGCACTTTCCAATTGGATTTCACTGTGTGAACTGGCAAAACCCAATTGAAAAGTGCATTGAACGTGGTTTGAAAGTGCATTATTTAGTGTATGTGATTGCAGCCTAAGAGCACTTTCCTGGAAGTAAGCACTGTTGAATAACACAATACTTTTTCTAACTAGACCTGCTGAGAATTTTTTCTTAACTGACCTTAGGCAAAGTTAGTATTTCTCGCCCCTTTCCCTCCACCCCACATCTACTCCTGTCACCTTACTGGGATAAAACGATGGATATGATACTTCTGACCATTTTGCTAAGCATTATTACCAACACAGTACCTTAAAAGTGAAAGCCACGGGATGTCCTAAAGGTATGTGGAGCACCTGCCTACTGGGCTTCTTTTGAGGGTAATAAAGATGTTGCTTGCTCAGCAAAGTAAGGTACTTGACAGCTTACCTTTCTCAGGGAAGAGCTGTGAGTCCGTGCTGAAGATCTC